AAACTCAACAACTAAGGCTCCCTTAAAAAGAAAAGTAGCGCTATAACATTTCAAAATACATGCTTTGCATTCTGAAAAGTGCTGTGCTTTTTAGTTTTTTCCCCCACCCTTTACAGTGTGAAAACAATACAGTTGGCCTCCATTTCAAACAAATAACTAGGTAAATTGGTTTTGAGCTTCCAGAAAAGACTAAGCTCAAACTATATAAGCATAGGACAGTTTACTGAACTGCAGGGCAATGCAACATTTTACTTCAAAGAAGCATGTTGATCCAATGCATATAAAATAGTGTTCATATTGACTTTTAAATTACATTTTCAGCTACAAATCTGGAGCACTTTGTTTGACTGGCACTGCTACAACAACACGGAAAAAAATACCAACTATATATTCTTACACATTTTCAGTATGTGAACCACATTTTAAGACATCATCTCTTTGATCAACTTCCCACCACTCAAAAACCTAAACCACATCTTCCCAATAGCAAGTGCCAGAACCAAATGCAACTACTGGTTTATATAGGGTAAAAAGGTAATTATTTAATATAGGTTTTATTGCTTTCAGCAGAGGTTGGCAGCTGGAAAGGAGTCAGCACCTTATGACCAAACTGGTCTCTATTCATCAGATGAGAATCCTCTTTAAGGTTATAGATACATAATTGTAAGATGGCCTTACAGTCAAAGCATAGTTCTTGTAGATCTCCAGCTGCACTACAATTTTCCTTTGGAAAAGTAATTTAACTTCAGTACCTCAATAAAAATCAAAACAGTATTTCGTTTTCCTCACAGGGCTGCTTGACACTTAAAATCACTGTATAGCACTTGATTTAGTTAAGGTAAATCTGAAGACTTCTAGTCCATTAGCTTTTCTAGGATGATGATTTACCTTCTGACTTTTGGAAGACAACAATTAATCTCAGGTTATAAACATAGCTCTCCTCTTCTTGCATGCCAAAGAAGTCCCATAAGAATCATACTCCAAAGGCTTTAAGTCTAAAATTCAGCTCTCAGCGTTGTCAGTGGGAGATTTTGTGTGGGCAGCATGAGTAAAACATTGGATTCAAGATACCTCGTGCTTTTGAGAGCAAAATACTGCCTTTATTGATTGCTGCTTTCTTTATAAAACTCCACATAGAGGCTCAACCTGCAATCCTAATGAAGGCAGATTTATGGGGCTGCATCAAGACTGCAAGATCAGGCCAATGGATTTTTAAATATTAACCTAAGCACAGAGAGCACTGGTTGCAACGGCAGTTGCAATCCATGGGCTATTTTGCTGAAATCATAATTATTCAACATTAAGGATAGTTTTAAATAAGGAAATTATTTTAACACAGTTTGGCTCTCCAGGCCAAGACACTGACAGAACATAGTTATTTTTGAAAATTCAACACCCACGCTAGACAGATGATGGATTTAATTCCTGAAGAACAGCTAGGATGCACAACATATGCACAACACAGCATAGTTGAGCCAGATCCTTGGCTAATGGAAGTTGGTACTGTATAGCCAATGGAGGTAATTCTAAAACTAACACCAAGTATAATAGTATTGCAATTATTTACACCACAGTCAAAATTTGACCTTGGATTTTCTTTGAGGGGGGTGGGAGGAACAGTCTTGTGACCTTCCCAAATGTTACAAAATGAGCATTTTCTTATTCTACTACATCTCACCAGCATCTCAAAAGGGACTGAAATGGTTTAAAAACAGTATACGGCATCACTCATCATGTCTTTGTATCAACATTTTGAGGCAGGAAGCAAAGGGCTGTGCATGGATGCATACATTAAAAGGAATGTAGGAATGGAAGGAACCTTCTACAGCCCTGAATCCAGTCCACTGTGATTGCAGGCAGCCATGTCCTGCCATCCCTTGATCAGATCAAGCTCCATTTTAAAAGTAGGTAGTTTTTATCCCCACTGCTTCTCTTGGAGCTCCTTTTGCAAAGATCGATGAACTGTGGAAACATTCTTGTGATCAATCAATTTGTTCCAAAAATGACCAACTTTGGAAAACAGGCACAGAATCAGGTTGAAATGGGGAAGGTTAAAAGCTGTGCTGTCCTTTTCAAATGATTCAGCAGTAGAAGCAGCAGAAGACATCTGTTTCCTAGCCTGAAGTAAACTTTAGCAAGACCAAGATAAAATGCTGACCCGAGACGCTGCAACAAGCAGACAATGCTCTGCACCCCCAGAAAAGAGCTAGGCCCTACCCCTTACATACTCGCCAGCATCTGATAGAAGGTACTGAGGACAATGAATGCTACTTTTCTGCATCAATATGGAGGGCCATTTATTTGTTGCTTCCTATCCCTTAAGTCATTATTTTGCCTACACAGAACATGATTGGCAAAAAACGTCAGAAAAACAAAATCAGAATTTAGTATTATAGCTTGCAATCAGATCAAGAAATAAGGCTTTGATCATTTCTTATTTAGTTATCTGGTTGGATCAAGGTATTGTTACCCAATCTTTGCAAGCAGTACTGGTAATTGCACATCATTTAAAACTGCATTATCTACAAAACGGTAACTCAGCATGATTTCTTATTGTATTTATTTGTTCTCAATTCATAGAACATAGTGCTACATCTTCCTTTTGCTTGCTCCCAAGACATACCTAGAAATGAGAGGTTTCATCTCAAGGCTTTTTCCTATTAAAATATTTAAATTAATCATTAAAAACCCAAAGTGGCTTTGGTTTTTAGCATTGTAAAACCAATCTCTCTCCTACAGTCCTTGCTAAAATTTTGCTCAGTCCTCACATTACTGCTTTCTGCCATGCTGTTCCTCACACTTGGGAAAAACCTACACATAGGGTATGGGCAGACAAAACAGTTATACCAAGTTGAGAGTGGAGGCCATTTATATTGCATGAGCTTATCCACAGTTACTGTTTTGTACATCTGCTCTATCCCACGATTACATGGAAGCTAAGCTAGGTCAATTTAGCTTCCACTTTAATACAAGAGAGTGAACATACAAAGTAGTTACAGAGGATCACCTAATGCATAGTAAGACTTCAATCCTTCTCTAACTTTGTACAATGTGTTCATCTGTTCATACCCATAATGATCTACAAAGCTACCTGCTTATCTTCCTTTAAACTCTCCTTGAGAGCACTGAGACCACTACTTTCCATGTTGACCAACATCTTCATGGTCTCCATATACTCCCAACCTGTCTGTATCTACCTGATGTGTCTTAGCTTGCACACAGACATAATAGAGCAACCATCTTTTTCTTACACAGTTCTTAATGGAATGGGGTTCTGGTCAGTAAGTAACGCTCTGAAGTGCGATCACTAATGTAGCATTCATCCATATGTTACACCTTGAGAAACTACTTGGATTAGCCAACTTTGAGAAAGCCAGTAGGACTGGAGGGCAATATGAATCTTTAGTCCTGCACAGAGACATCCCATCTGCACCTAGACACTAGTCCTTTGGGTGGTGTAGCAGGCTAACTGCTCCCTAAATACATTTCTTGAAAGTTGCATCCCATTCTCGACTTCCGTTGTGCTCCTGTACCACAATGTAACCCACAATATGTAACTTGACTTATATTTATACCTTCTCCGTCCTTCTTTTTCACTGGGCAGAGGAAGCTTCAAAACTCAAGAGGCAGGAGAGTATGAGCCTAAACCTTGTGTTTTTGTACAGGAGGTATCAAACAGTGGTTAAACACCACTAACCTAAGAGTAAGAACCTGAAACATGCTTCCTCCAGATTTACAGTGGGAAGGGGCACAGCTTGAGCCATCTGAGATTCAGGCCATCACAACAACAGGGTTTTAAAGTCAGCCAACATATGATAAACACCTACCATGTAACCATCACAACAGCATTTCAACCCTTCCTTGGTGGGATGTTACTTCTCTGACCCAAGTGACCTTAGATCTGCAACTGTAATGGGAGTGGTCTGAAGCAAATAAAGAGATGAGATACAAACAGAATTGCTCTCCAAAAGTCTCCCTCTCGTACAATTGCATCTAAACAATTCAATCATTTCACCATCCACAAGCTGTCTCTGAAACTATAAGAATAGGTGCTCACCAACTTTCCAACTGCATTAGCGTGGCTATTAGGAACTGAAATGTAACGACTCCAAAACCCCCAACAGATTCTCTCACGTATGAAATTCAAGACCGTGTATGGCAACAGAACCTGCTTCCTGACATCTGGACAACTGCGCTCAACCTTCAACCCCTGCTTCTCGCTGTACGGTTTAAAATCGGAGCACGTAATTGCGATAAAGTCCTGTCACGCTCCGAGGTCCTCTCTCAGCAAGCAAACAGGCACCCAGCCGCAAGGCAGGCATGAAAACGGAGAAAGAAAAAAGTTAGAGACAATCTGGAGTACTGCAACCTCACACGCAAATCCATCAAAAGCTGAGAGGAAAAGCAGCCACTAAAAATAACCCAAAAGAACGGTTTCCAAGCCGAAGACAAACCAACTCGACTTTACCCCGCCAAGATAGGGCGTACAACGGCATAGCCGCAAACACAGCTGAAGCACAGCCCTGCCTAGTCGCAACACGGGCACTTTTCTTTACAAAAACCCCAAAAACACTCAGCGCTGGTGCTACACGTGCTCTGCACCAAAATCCCTTGCTCTTTACGCCAACAGCTCCTGTCCGACCAACTCTGCGTGTGGGCCACAGAATCCAGACAGTGCCTGCCTGCAGACGAAAAGCTCCCCAACACGCCGATAGACAGTGTCCCGCTCTCGCCACCGCCTCCCCGAAACCAGCCCCTGCATCTTCCAGCTCCCACCTGTACCTTTTCCTGCTGGAGGGCATCGGGCTGCAAATCCTGCCCGTGCCCCGGGACATAAAGCGGCTGAGGCGGTTTCCTGCTGTCCCACGCAGGACGGCCGGGCCCCCCGCCCACGCCAGCCCGGCACGACCCCAGCCCCAGGCCCCCGTGTGAGGGAGTAACCCTGGGGGCAGGCAGGGAGGGAGCGGGAGCGGGAGCAGCCCCAGCGCGGCCGCACTCACCTGACGCGGTTGTCGCGGAACTTGCTGGGCTGCAGCTGGTTCAGGTGAATGGTGCGGGCAGCCGAGTCGTCCAGGTCCGCCGAGGACGCGGCTCCGGACATCTCATCGTCCGCCTTGCGGTAGCCCAGCGGGGAGCACACGGGTCCTGCGGGGACAGCAGCAGGCGCGGCTCAGGCACGGCCGCAGGGTGTGCACGCCCCCCGCCCGCGCCGCCGCCACCAAAGCCGGCGACGGCCCCCCCCCGCCCCCC